AAAGAGAAAGACAAGTACCGTATGCTAACACACATATATGGAATCTAAGAAAAAAAAAATGTCATGAAGAACCTAGGGGTAAGACGGGAATAAAAACACAGACCTACTAGAGAATGGACTTGAGGATATGGGGAGGGGGAAGGGTAAGCTGTGACAAAGTGAGAGAGTGGCATGGATATATATACACTACCAGATGTAAAATAGATAGCTAGTGGGAAGCAGCCGCATAGCACAGGGAGATCAGCTCAGTGCTTTGTGACCACCTAGAGAGGTAGGATAAGGAGGGTTGGAGGGAGGGAGATGTAAGAGGGAAGAGATATGGGAACATATGTATATGTATAACTGATTCACTTTGTTATAAAGCAGAAACTAACACACCATTGTAAAGCAATTATACTCCAATAAAGATGTAAAAAAAAACCATACTTAGTTAATAAGTGACAAATATTTGTAAGAAAAAGATTTAGATGCTCTTGATATATTCTATATTCTTACTTCAATAAAACATATAAACATATATAAATTCAGTATCGTTAGAGCAGTTACAAATGTGTATAGAAACATAACTTAAGCTAATAAGTAACACAATCACTGGTTGTCACAAGATTCCAAAAATATCAATATGAGTAAAATATTCAAAACAGATGAGTCACATCAGACTTTTTGGTGATATAAATAAGCTTAGAAATATATTGGAATATGCTTTCTGATTTCTTAACACTCTTTTTTTTAGAAAAAAGAATCATGAATATACACAAAGATTATTTGCAAAGATGTTCATCACAGCATTGTTTATAACAGATTAAAATTATAGTATATTCACATAATAAAATACTATGCAGCCATTAATATAGTTTTGAAGAGGAGTATTTTCTAAAGTATGTTCTGCAGAATAGAAATTCCGTGAGATATTAATAGGTATTGGATGAAAAAAGAGGACTCTGTGGTCAAATCAATTTATAAAAAATGAGGATAAACCATATTAAACAGGTGTTTTAACTGCAGTTCTTCCTAGGCTAATCTGCTTTAAGGTGCTCTAACAAGGGGAGAGTGTATGAATTATCTCTCAAAGTTACCTATCCACAGAACACTTATATTTTCATAGGGTATTTGTGTTCCAAAGACAATATCTAGAAAATGCTATGGTAGAATACTACTTAATGACAGGGAAAATGTTCACAATACATTATTACGTTTTCAAGAAGTTACAAAACAATGTTTGACATATATGTTTCTACATGCATATATTCCAAGCAGGTCTAGGATTTCCACTGAATGTGAAAGAATTCTATCAAAAGGCATGAAAAATGATATTGTAAGGGCCCTTCAATAATCAAAACTGCCATCATATGCTATCAGATTTTGGCTCACTAGATTTCTGAACCCACAGAACAGAATGGTTTCCATGTACTCACATTATTATTATAAATCTGTCTAGTCCTGGTCCCAGTAGGAAGAAGAGATATAGCCAAAGTTACCTAAAAACCTTTCAGATTACCTTCATCTCAAGTTTAAACTAGATCTTTAAATGTATTCGTTTTAAAGGCAATTAATACAGTCGAATTAATATATTTAAATAACTTTGAGCTACTTAGCAAGAAACTTCCTGATGTTGGCCTAATAATTAAAACACTTTACTGACTTCAAAAACCTAGAAGACAATTTTCCTTTAAGGCTCCATTTAGTCCCAACCACAATGTAACTTTTATTAATGGAAGCTACATAGCAACAATGGTATGAGAGCAAATAAAACCAAAAGGCTCCACTGTTGACTGAAGCACCTCAATTAATAAGCCACAAAAGTTCCTACTACAAATTTAAAGAGATGGCTTTGTGAATTTTATGACAAGTTCACATTTATCCCCATTGATTGGGATAAAGTCTTTTCCAGACTACCCACTGAAAACTCAGTGCTGTGAATTTACTTTAACCAACTTTGTACTGGAGTCATCTCTACCAGTCATTCCTCATTAAGATTCCTTTTACATGGTTGGGGGAAAAAGTCAATGATTCATTCAATAATCACCAACTTCCTGCTGACTTTAAATCACGATTAGCTAAACCCTCTCCATCTACCAACCCACAGCCATCTATTCTCTTCCATTACAATGAGAGTTGCAGCTGATTTTTTCCAGCTTTTACTTTGTAATATTCCGATTCCATTTACTACTAAATTTTTTCTCACTAACAATATTCTAAATAAATAGCTCCATTCCACATGAGGCGTAATTTAAAGATATACTTTGCGTGTCATCTTACCACTCTGCTAGTGAACCCCGAGCACATGGAAGGTTATAAAGACAGTCCTTAACTTGGTTAAGGTTAGGATTTTTGGTTAAATGGTTAAATGTAGGATTTTTCAACTTTATGATGGTACAAAAGCTATACGCATTCAGTAAAAACTGTACTTCGACTTTTGAATTCTCATCTTTTCCCAGGCTAGTGATATGTGGTCGATACCCTGTGTGATGCCCAGCAGAGAGCCACAGCCCCCAGTCAGTCACACGATCACAAGGGTTAACAACCAATACACTTAGAACCATTCTGTACCCATACAACCATTCTGTTTTTCACTTCCACACACTACAGAATTCAATAAACTACATAAGATATTCAACACTTGATTATAAAATACGCTTTGTGTTAGATGATTTTGCCCAGTGGTAGTTCTAAGCACAGTTAAGGTAGGCTAGACTAAGCTATGATGATCAGTAGGTTAGGTGTATTAAATGAATTTTTGACAGGATATTTTTAACTTATGTATTTCAACATAACCATACTGTAAGTAAAGGAAGCTCTGTACGTTAATGATTCAGTACAAGGTAACTGTACTAATTCATATAGAAAAGCTGAAGATAGAAACTCCAGGGAATGAAATTATATCATGTACGTATTATATATTATATAATACAATCTGCTTTTTAAATAGCAACATCTCTAAAGATAGAAAGCTTAAAAAACTCACTTGCCTGACTGGCCACAAGGGATAAGAAAATTCTTTCCTTTGGTAACAGAACACAACCTGCAAGGAAATTCTGCTTCTTCTTTTATAATATAGAAGTTATAGTGTAGTTCCCACTCACCCTTAGTCAAAGAATTTTCTCTTCATTATTTAAAGTCAGAAATAGGAGGTTATTTTCTAAACATATCACATTGAAAAAGCTATTATCATTAATCATCAGAAGCCCAGTACAAAATCCTAAAGTGTATGTTTATCCCTGACCCTCTACAGGACCTCCACAGGACCTGTTCTATTTCTTCCTATAAAATATTTCTAATCTCTATCTTCCCCACTTCACTTCCAGCATTACTTGGGTCTTAATCAGAGAAGGAAAGAAAATGCAAATATCTGACTGAAATAACTGCTCGCTCTTGCAGAGCTAATTCTAGTTAGTTCATTATTCATTTGTCCATCAATAAACCTTGAGTGAATGCTTATCAGAGGCACAGAGCTGTCCCAAGTGCTGAGGAACAATTAAAGGAACACAAAAGTTATGACCTCTCCTCTCAAGAAGCTTACAAACAACCTATTTGGGCATAAAGAAAAAAAAAAGAAAAAGACAAAATAAATAGGAAACAACTGTAAAATGATATAAAAACAAAAATTCAATATACTGGCAGCACTGGAGGAAGGAAGGAAGGAAGGAAGGAAGGAAGGAAGGAAGGAAGGAAGGAAGGAAGAAGGGAGGGAGGGAGGGAGGAAGGAAATATTTAGTGCTAAATCCAGATTCAACTAAATTTAGTGGGTGCCTACTTCATGCCAGGAACTATAATTAGGGTTTTCACTAATAATTCATCCTAAAATAATAGTAGAGCAAAAGCATGGAATCTTGAAAGAAGTTGAGTAAAGGGGATGATAAAAAGATCTTATAAAAGTAGTAATAGAGTTAGACAAGTGTTAATCTCGCCCTATTACATTTTAGCAGTTCATATCTATGGTTGTATGAGTATAATAAAAGAGTATAAAAAGCAAATCAGTGAATATTTTTCTTTTTTAAAAAGTCTGATTGGGAAAAAAAATTATAATTATGTGTGGTGATGGATGTTAAGTAAGCTTATTGTGGTAATCATTTCACTATATACATATATATATATATATATATATATATATACACCAAATCATTATGTTATACACCTAAAACGAATACAGTGTTATACATCAATTATATCTCAATTAAAAAAACATATTGTTGCTGTTTGAATTGTGTCACTCCCAAATTCTTGTGTTAAAGTTCTAACATCTAATACCTCAAAATGTGACCTTACTTGGGAATAGGGTCATTGCAGATGTAATTAGTTAAGATGAGGTCATTAGGGTAAGGCCTTTACCCAGTATGATTGGTGTCCTTATTAAAAGAGGAAATCTGGACACTGACATGGACACAGAGAAAAAAACAGTTCTAAATGGGGAAATTTCATTGGAGAAAAACCAAAAAAAGTAGCTAAAATAAGGTCTATGGGTTATTTGTAGATGTCCTTATTACCACAGACAAATAAAAAGTAGAAATACATTGCTCTACGGCTCTCTCAAGTCTCACACATTTAGCTTACATCTAAGGTGGCTAAACTAGATGCTTTTAGTAACAAAATTCATATATTATCATTTATTAATATATGTCTTACTTCCCAAGCTCCAAGAAGCTGTATCTTATTTAACTGTGCATTGCCAACAACACTTGGAAAAGTGTTGTAGTGGAACAGCAGTGCACTCTGAAGTAAGAGGATTCAAGTCTCAGCTCTGCAAGTTTATCCTAGCTATTTCACCTTGGACAAATTTATAAAACTCTAAGCTTCAGCATCTTTGTCTAATAAAACTTTCTAGGAGTTCTTACGAGGAGTAAAGGATATGTAATTGAAAACACTTAGCATAGAACATAGCAGATAACCAGTGCTAAAGATATATGAGTTCCTTTTATTGTTTGCATACTGCATACAATAGAATGCGATTATGAGGTTGGAGTTTCAGTCATTTAGAGAATTTTCTGATAGTTATACACTTACCTTGGTTTTCAGGTGGTCTTAGATTTGCTAAAGCAACAATCTGATGCCCAGCAGCAATGCACTGCATCATATTATAACAGCTGTCCTTCCCACCACTAAAAAATAAAGAAAGAAATAGATGAGACAAATATCAGGTTACTGACCATTACCTGACATAGACTCATTATAGAAATAGAACACATTTTTTCAGCTTTTCAGAATATTTGAGGGACTATTTTACATTAGAATGCAAAAAACACATGTAATTTCCATAGCATACACAACTGATCAAATGAATCTGATTATCTAAGGCTGCTACTCACAAGGGCTTATGAAATTATATGCCATTATAACAAAGACTATGCTAAACAAAAAATGGCAACTCTTTGGTTTGTGATAGTGGCTTTGCTTAATATAAAGTGTTTTGCAAATAAAATACGATTTAATTTTACATTTCAGTTAAACTATTATATATACTTCTCAGATGAAATTTTCTATGAGAACGCAGAAAAAACCATGTTCTGTTCCACTTTAAGAACTCTAACAACGGTCACCATCACCAATTAAAGGATCAAATTAAAGATCTGAGATGCAATCAAATGACAAAGTTTGATGTACTTGGTGGGTTCAAATTCTGTAGAGGTTGAAAGCAAAATGCTGAATTACACCGATAAAGTTAAACAGCAGTACTATCAGTACTTCTTCTTTCAGCCATCACTACATATGATGGCAGGACAAGGCCTGAGTCATAAATCTAATAAACAGATTGACAGGAAATTCTAAATTCTGGTACCAAATCTACCTACCTAGCAAATCACTTATTCAAGACCAATAGTCATTCATCTATAACAAGGTTGAATGGCAACCTTTATACTATTTCAGTTTAGTACTCTCTTGCATGTTTCTTCCTTTCTTTTATCTTTGTCTCTCTTCGTTTTATTCCTGTTTCCCTTCATTCTAATCTCTGCTAAAATCTGCAAATGTACCCCCAGATAGTGTTTAGACCTATTTATAAGCAAAGAAACCAAGAGACTGATTATCCTAGAAGTTGGCCCTTTTGCCTTTTATTTTAGTTCCCAGCATTTGTCAGCCTCTACCATATTCTGATCAGTAACAACTGTCATTCCAGAACTTCTCAAGGGGAGGGAGATTGCAAGGGGCAAAGTGAAGTTACACATCATGCTCTCTCCCCTCAGCTTCTGATGTTTCCCCCAAGTACCACTTTCACAACTTCTCCTATTGAACCTGTTTTATTTCCCCAGGACAAGATGATCTAATTCTTTAGAATATTTAGAATATTAAAGATTAAAGGGTATACATCCACAATCAGAACTTGTCCTTTTATTTTAAAATATGCTAAGATTTCAAATATGATTTTAAAATAGTATTTCCCAAATTGTGTTCTGTGGAACACTAGTGTCCGACAAATACTCTAAGAACAAAAGGTTTTAAAGGTCAAATTAGGTTTGGAAAATGCTAGTACCTTACTCACTTCTTAGAACATCACAAAGTACATCAGCATATGTTAGGGAAGACATCCTTCACAAGATCAGAATTTCAGTTCCCAATTCTGGAATACCAAACTAAGTTACTCAATATGCTTGGGTTCACATGCTTCATTATAAAATTAGAGAATGGTCTAACTAATCCTCAAGGTGTCATTCAACTGTAAAATTCAATGATGCAATCTTTTGTGTATTAGGAAAATATGCTCTTCATGGTCTAAAGATAATGTAAGAATCTTGGTTTCACTTATTCCCTAGAACACACACACATATCCCATCTCAGTGCACACACTAAATATATTTATTGCAAGCAGATTCACTGTATTAAGTTTAAATCCAAATACATTCAAGTGTATATGCATACAAATGTATATATGTATTATGTATGCATTCATATTTGTATGTACATATTATGTTCTGTACTCCTACTTATGTCTTCCAACATTTATACAGATCTTACATTTTAGCAACGATTTTCCAACATTGCCTTTTTTAAAAGTAATTTGGTTATTATAAAAGTAACATATGCACATTACAGAATATCTAGTGTAATGGATTATACCAATCTTCTTCTCTCCTTCCCTTCAACATTTCTGAGACTTTAGTTAGTGTCTCACTTTAATGGTTAAACTTTGGTAAACTGCATGTGCATATGAATTACTCATTTCCTGGACTGCTTTTTGTTCTTACTTATCTAGATCAAATAATCACATTGTTTACAGAAGAAATTCATTGGAAAAAAATTATTTTGGCATTATAGTCCAGTATCCTAACAATGGCATTGAAGTAAAAGATGTTATATCGAGTCCTTAATAGGTCACACTATTGTCAGCCAGTATTAATATCGTAGGTCAGTGAACAAAAACTTTCATGAAATCTTCAATGGGCTTCGCATGGTTGCCCTCTATTCATCTCACTCTATACAGATCCAAAACTCATCAAACAAATGTTCAAGTAGTCTGAACTCCCTTTTGCATTTTGTTGTTTTTTCCCTTTTGCTTCAGTTTACAGATTGAGTATGGAGACATTTAAGCTGACCAATCTTTGGTCGTCATAGGACTTAATTTAGACACCTAAAAACATGATGGGTTATTAGATTTCAAACTCCTTTTGGAATATGGAGTGTGTTACCGTAAGGTCACTTTTCTAAAAGCAATCATGAGTGTTCAAAGCAATGGCAACTGGATCTAAGATAAAACAGGATAATTCCATCTCTATCCTTGAGCACCAAAGTAAAACACATCTATGCCATAAACAGTCCAGTCACTAATGGGACGGCAGGCGAGGGAGAGGTGGTCTTTTGCGGGAGGGGGCGGGGCTGGTAACAACCTAGGGAACCAGGCAGGGCCGGAAGACCGGCAGAAAGACTGAAGGGAACTATAAAAGTGGATGAAAAATGAGAGAAAAGGGTGGGAGAGACTCAGTAAGTGGCGTCAAGCAGTGCCCCTCAAACTTCACAGCCCATTACAGTTTTTGAGAATCCGACCCCGAGTCGGGTCGGAGTAATTTAACCAGCCCTCGGGCGGTGAGACCCAGACATCAGTAGTTTTAAAGTGAAACCAATCTGAACCCAAGTTTGGGGCCCAGAAGACCAGGGAGGCGGCGACAGAGAGAAACGAGGAGCGCCAGCCCGGGACCGGGGACCAGCCAAGCCGGGCAGTAGCCCGAAGGCTCCGCCTCTTCCTGCTACCGGGAGGAGCCGCCGAGTCCCCGATACACGGCTTCTGCAGGGACACCGTCAGTTCGGCGGCGGCGGCGGCGGCAGCTCCCGCCACTCAGCAGAAAGGGACTGGAAGCAGGAAGGGAGGAGGAAGGCGGCACCGGCGCGGTTACCTGATCAGAGCCGCGACCCTCATGCTGGGCGCAGAGCGCATGCGTGCGGCGGGCGCGGGCCGACGCCTCCGTGACGTACGCAGGTCCTCGCCCGGGTGTTCGTTCCGCCGCCTGTCAGGCGACCGGTGCTGCGGCCCCTGCGGCCGCCCACGGGGCACCTGGACGAGGAGTACGCGCCACCTTGGCGCCTAGTCCCTGAGGCACGGAGGTCCCGGCTCGGAAAAGAACGCTGTTTAGGCGCGGCCTAACCACCTAAGTGAGGGCACTGAAGCTGCCTGGGGAAGGGCAAGGCCCGCGTCGCCGAGTTCGGGCTCGGAGCCCTGGATTTGTTTGGGTAGGAGAATGTTCAAAGTCCTTTACGCCGCCCATTGAAACACTTGTGGACATGCAAAGGGAAAGCAAGTTGGTCTTTACTTCCTCAGCCAGCCACCCACCCCTTCCCCAGAAAGAGCTGCACCCTTTAGTTTTTTAGCTTTTGTCTCCTCAGTGCTTCCAGCTTACCTCTGGGGCCACTCCTAGGACTGCTAGGCTCCCTGTGGTTTGGGCCCTTTGTGTAATAAAGAAGCTTAGAAGCTGATTAAGGCTCATCACCAAAGAGCAGTGTCCTTGCAGAAAGAAAATCTAATTTCTAAATTTATTCACCAAGTATTTATTGAGTGCCTTTTATTTACCTGGCGCTGTTTTAGGCTCTTGGGATACGTCCGTGAATAAAACAATCACCTCCTGTGGGAGATTGCCGGGTGTGCTTTGCAAGGATAGAGCGGCAAAATCAAACAAAAAAACCCAGCAATCACCTCCCTCCTGGAGTTTACTTGGGGGTGGGGAAAGCAGACAGCATACTACCAAAAGGTTACATAGCATGTTGAAACATGTTAAGTGCTATGAAAAAGAATAGAGCTTGAGAGGAATCAGGAAGGAGGTTGTTGGCCTGTTGGGAACAGGCCCAATTGGTCCGCGGCCTGTTGGGAACTGGGCTGTACAGCGGGAGGTGAGCAGTGGGTGGGAGAGCCAGCCAGCAGAGCAAAGCTCCATCTGCCGCTCCCCTGTTGCTCCCATTACCACCTGAGCCATCCCCCACCCCCAATCCGTGGAAAAATTGTCTTCCACAAAAACCAGTCCCTGGTGCCAAAAAGGTTGGGGACGGCTGCTCTCGGCAGAAGAAAAAAACCAGAGCCAAGACCCTAGATGCATCATGTGTTTGTGGAAAAACAAGTTTGGCCAGTGTGGCTGAAACCTCAGAGTAGTGGGAGATGAGGTTCCAGTGATGGAGGGAGGGAGATCTTATAGGTGTTATTGATACCAACCATGGTTCTTGACCTTGCCCAATCAATAGAAGGTGACAAGAGGCCAGACAAGAAATTCAGGCAAGCAGGGAGGAGCAAAAACAAGTAATAGTTTCGCTTGATAACAAGTAACAGTTTCCCTTGCTCACTCCCCAAGGGGGTGGGGGGGCAGCTGGTTCCTTATATGGGGTGAGGGTAGGGGGATGTCCAGGGGTTGGCTGGGAGTGGTGGCTTAGGTGGTTTGCCCACCCCTTTGGTGATGTTGCGTGCAGCAGGCATGCACAGCACCCTGCTTTTGCTCCTGACACCCTGGTTTTGCTCCCAGCTCTTTTTTTGGTCTTTTTAGGAAGGAAGGAAGGAAGGAAGGAAGGAAGGAAGGAAGGAAGGAAGGAAGGAAGAAGGGAGGGAGGGAGGGAGGAAGGAAATATTTAGTGCTAAATCCAGATTCAACTAAATTTAGTGGGTGCCTACTTCATGCCAGGAACTATAATTAGGGTTTTCACTAATAATTCATCCTAAAATAATAGTAGAGCAAAAGCATGGAATCTTGAAAGAAGTTGAGTAAAGGGGATGATAAAAAGATCTTATAAAAGTAGTAATAGAGTTAGACAAGTGTTAATCTCGCCCTATTACATTTTAGCAGTTCATATCTATGGTTGTATGAGTATAATAAAAGAGTATAAAAAGCAAATCAGTGAATATTTTTCTTTTTTAAAAAGTCTGATTGGGAAAAAAAATTATAATTATGTGTGGTGATGGATGTTAAGTAAGCTTATTGTGGTAATCATTTCACTATATACATATATATATATATATATATATATATATATATACACCAAATCATTATGTTATACACCTAAAACGAATACAGTGTTATACATCAATTATATCTCAATTAAAAAAACATATTGTTGCTGTTTGAATTGTGTCACTCCCAAATTCTTGTGTTAAAGTTCTAACATCTAATACCTCAAAATGTGACCTTACTTGGGAATAGGGTCATTGCAGATGTAATTAGTTAAGATGAGGTCATTAGGGTAAGGCCTTTACCCAGTATGATTGGTGTCCTTATTAAAAGAGGAAATCTGGACACTGACATGGACACAGAGAAAAAAACAGTTCTAAATGGGGAAATTTCATTGGAGAAAAACCAAAAAAAGTAGCTAAAATAAGGTCTATGGGTTATTTGTAGATGTCCTTATTACCACAGACAAATAAAAAGTAGAAATACATTGCTCTACGGCTCTCTCAAGTCTCACACATTTAGCTTACATCTAAGGTGGCTAAACTAGATGCTTTTAGTAACAAAATTCATATATTATCATTTATTAATATATGTCTTACTTCCCAAGCTCCAAGAAGCTGTATCTTATTTAACTGTGCATTGCCAACAACACTTGGAAAAGTGTTGTAGTGGAACAGCAGTGCACTCTGAAGTAAGAGGATTCAAGTCTCAGCTCTGCAAGTTTATCCTAGCTATTTCACCTTGGACAAATTTATAAAACTCTAAGCTTCAGCATCTTTGTCTAATAAAACTTTCTAGGAGTTCTTACGAGGAGTAAAGGATATGTAATTGAAAACACTTAGCATAGAACATAGCAGATAACCAGTGCTAAAGATATATGAGTTCCTTTTATTGTTTGCATACTGCATACAATAGAATGCGATTATGAGGTTGGAGTTTCAGTCATTTAGAGAATTTTCTGATAGTTATACACTTACCTTGGTTTTCAGGTGGTCTTAGATTTGCTAAAGCAACAATCTGATGCCCAGCAGCAATGCACTGCATCATATTATAACAGCTGTCCTTCCCACCACTAAAAAATAAAGAAAGAAATAGATGAGACAAATATCAGGTTACTGACCATTACCTGACATAGACTCATTATAGAAATAGAACACATTTTTTCAGCTTTTCAGAATATTTGAGGGACTATTTTACATTAGAATGCAAAAAACACATGTAATTTCCATAGCATACACAACTGATCAAATGAATCTGATTATCTAAGGCTGCTACTCACAAGGGCTTATGAAATTATATGCCATTATAACAAAGACTATGCTAAACAAAAAATGGCAACTCTTTGGTTTGTGATAGTGGCTTTGCTTAATATAAAGTGTTTTGCAAATAAAATACGATTTAATTTTACATTTCAGTTAAACTATTATATATACTTCTCAGATGAAATTTTCTATGAGAACGCAGAAAAAACCATGTTCTGTTCCACTTTAAGAACTCTAACAACGGTCACCATCACCAATTAAAGGATCAAATTAAAGATCTGAGATGCAATCAAATGACAAAGTTTGATGTACTTGGTGGGTTCAAATTCTGTAGAGGTTGAAAGCAAAATGCTGAATTACACCGATAAAGTTAAACAGCAGTACTATCAGTACTTCTTCTTTCAGCCATCACTACATATGATGGCAGGACAAGGCCTGAGTCATAAATCTAATAAACAGATTGACAGGAAATTCTAAATTCTGGTACCAAATCTACCTACCTAGCAAATCACTTATTCAAGACCAATAGTCATTCATCTATAACAAGGTTGAATGGCAACCTTTATACTATTTCAGTTTAGTACTCTCTTGCATGTTTCTTCCTTTCTTTTATCTTTGTCTCTCTTCGTTTTATTCCTGTTTCCCTTCATTCTAATCTCTGCTAAAATCTGCAAATGTACCCCCAGATAGTGTTTAGACCTATTTATAAGCAAAGAAACCAAGAGACTGATTATCCTAGAAGTTGGCCCTTTTGCCTTTTATTTTAGTTCCCAGCATTTGTCAGCCTCTACCATATTCTGATCAGTAACAACTGTCATTCCAGAACTTCTCAAGGGGAGGGAGATTGCAAGGGGCAAAGTGAAGTTACACATCATGCTCTCTCCCCTCAGCTTCTGATGTTTCCCCCAAGTACCACTTTCACAACTTCTCCTATTGAACCTGTTTTATTTCCCCAGGACAAGATGATCTAATTCTTTAGAATATTTAGAATATTAAAGATTAAAGGGTATACATCCACAATCAGAACTTGTCCTTTTATTTTAAAATATGCTAAGATTTCAAATATGATTTTAAAATAGTATTTCCCAAATTGTGTTCTGTGGAACACTAGTGTCCGACAAATACTCTAAGAACAAAAGGTTTTAAAGGTCAAATTAGGTTTGGAAAATGCTAGTACCTTACTCACTTCTTAGAACATCACAAAGTACATCAGCATATGTTAGGGAAGACATCCTTCACAAGATCAGAATTTCAGTTCCCAATTCTGGAATACCAAACTAAGTTACTCAATATGCTTGGGTTCACATGCTTCATTATAAAATTAGAGAATGGTCTAACTAATCCTCAAGGTGTCATTCAACTGTAAAATTCAATGATGCAATCTTTTGTGTATTAGGAAAATATGCTCTTCATGGTCTAAAGATAATGTAAGAATCTTGGTTTCACTTATTCCCTAGAACACACACACATATCCCATCTCAGTGCACACACTAAATATATTTATTGCAAGCAGATTCACTGTATTAAGTTTAAATCCAAATACATTCAAGTGTATATGCATACAAATGTATATATGTATTATGTATGCATTCATATTTGTATGTACATATTATGTTCTGTACTCCTACTTATGTCTTCCAACATTTATACAGATCTTACATTTTAGCAACGATTTTCCAACATTGCCTTTTTTAAAAGTAATTTGGTTATTATAAAAGTAACATATGCACATTACAGAATATCTAGTGTAATGGATTATACCAATCTTCTTCTC